GAAGTGGTGCGGTTGTTGCTCGAGGCTGGAGCTGACAAGAATGCGGCCTGGGCAGATGGGGCAACAGCCTTGATGCTTGCAGCTCGGAAAGGCCGCTTGGAAGTGGTGCGGTTGTTGCTCGAGGCTAGAGCTGACAAGAATGCGGCCAGGCCAGATGAGGAAACAGCCTTGATGCTTGCAGCTCAGAATGGCCACTTGGAAGTTGTGCGGTTGTTGCTCGAGGCTGGAGCTGACAAGAATGCGGCCCGGGCAGATGGGGCAACAGCCTTGATGCTTGCGGCTCGGGATGGCCACTTGGAAGTGGTGCGGTTGTTGCTCGAGGCTGGAGCTGACAAGAATGCGGCGATGGCAGATGGGAGAACAGCCTTGATGCTTGCAGATTTCAATGACTGCTCGAAAGTGGTGCAATTGTTGCGCTGAGGGAGTTATTCCATTGCAGCTGTTCAGCCAGAGCTTGGCTGGACCACGCCTTGTGCTTTTGACAGGAAGAAGGCATCGTCAACAAAAAACAGATTCTCTGGGTAGGTCAATCAATCGGTCGGTCTGGACATTTTTTTCGACCCACAGCCATGTGGAGCCAGCCGTTGTCCGCTTTTTAAACAATAATATAATGGGATATTTATTATATAGATGCATGGACCAGTCTGTAGATTTGTGTGCCACGTATGAGCAGGATGTCTTCGTGCCACCAGGGACATCACTACATAAAAGCCGTTTGCATGCTACCCAGCTATGTGGCTATAAGCCGACCCCTGCCACTGGCCGTGACATGGCCGGAACATGCCGGTAGACTTTTTGTTCCCCATGTTTCTGAGTTACCCTCCCTCCAACTGCCCATGGTCCAACGTGCAGTTGGAAGAAGCCGTCCACCTCCGTTTCTCAGGTGAGCCAACACGCGCTGGAGGTGAGAGCTTTGATTGGCACTGTGAGCGCAAAGCTTGTGACCATCAACTCGTTCAAGTAACGCACGGCCTGCGTGAGGCACAGGATGGCATAGGATGGCGGTGTAGCCAAAATGGAAGGAACAGTTTGCAGTAGAGCAGGGAATTCTGGATTCTGAACTCGGTTTCCATCACCTCTCATCAATAAGTGGTCATGCACTTGGTGATCAAGACCAGGGCACCCAGTGGTCCACGCCGTGCCAGGCGGCCGTGACACTGAACTTGGGCGTGGCAGGGAGCCCAGGTGGTGCCAGAGATATGGGGGGTGCTTTGAACCCGGGCACTGGGTTTTTTCCCTGGTTTGTCCCACAGAAGATGAGCTGAAATGAACAGAATAGAATACCTAGACATGGTCAACCTACCAGACATCCGTACCCCTTAGCCATGTGGTGATGGAATTCTTTCTTTTTTCTCAGAAGGACTTTTCAATTCCCAGTCGTTGAGGTACAGATGACTTTTCCAGAACGTTTGTTTTTGTTCGTGTGTTTTTTGTGGCATGTTCTACGGAGGTTTGTAGGTTTGGAATGGCTTGGATTTGGATATGCTTCTTTGGAGGAGTTGCATGTTGTATGATTGGTTTGCTTTTTTGGTGCCTGTTCAGAGCAGTTCAAAACTGGCTGAGGACGGCACTTGGTGGTTCTGAGATGCACCGCCAGCACAACGACCGGTCCAAAGTATGACTGGTCACATCTCTTGAGCAAAACCACTTATGACCGCGTTTTGCCGAAGCGTTTGGCGGTGAAGCTGCGGACGTTAGAGGTTGAAACGACGAGTCCTTGTATCGTCCATATGACTCCCTGTGGTGAAGCGAAGGACGCGATGACGCATTTGCAGTTCCAAGTGCTGCTCACGGTGGAGATGGGGCCACATGAGAACTGGACAGTGAAGTCTTTTCATTCTTTTCAGATCTTTTCCAATTCTTGGACACAAGGTGATAGATCTCACAAGAGTGAAAGAAACGCCGAACCTCATGCCTTTTCAATCCTTTTCACCTATGTCTTCAGCCGAGCCCCAGCGACTCGCCCCCTCTGGCCGCCGGGAAACCAACGGTGCAAGAAGCTGCCGCCGCCGCGCAGGTGCGCGTGAAGCGCTATCGTCGCCTGCGGCGCGGGGAGCACATCATGGCTCTCAGGCGGGACCAAAAACGAACGGAACAAGGACGCTGCTAGGAACAAGTGCCACGCTAGTAGTAACAAGTGCCTTACTAGTAGTAACAAAAAGCTATTAGGAACAAGGACGCTCCGAACGGGGCTCCTGGCATCGCTACGAGTCCGGAGCAAGGGGCATCGCTACGTGGACCGGACGAGTTGTGGACCTCGGGAGACTGGAGACTGCGGCGTTTTGCGGCGTTGCATGGTGGACATGAATGAATCATATCCTGAGAGGATGTATGAGTAGAAGCTCCTGGTGTAGATATATCCATCTCACCATTTCTGCCCATTCTGGACGTTCATGTCCGAAGAAATGACTATGGACGATGATGACTATGGTCGTTATGCAGTCGACTGAGTCATGACTACTCACCACTACTCACCACTGACGTCAGGCAACACAACGAGATGATCGCCAATGTGGCCAGGATTCTCGGATCCGCGCGTCGTGTGAGGGGCCGAACGATGGGGGACGATGGGCTCATGCGGACGTCACCCGGAAACCACTGCGGCGTTTGGTGTTGTTTCATGTTTATTGCCACAATGCTTCTTAGTGTGCGAACGTCCTTACTCGTCATGCTTGCCCAGCTCGGCCACCACGTTTTCGCGTTGGTTTCCCGACGGATCCCTTTTCCCGGATGGGGGACACCTCCCCTTTTCCAGGTTCCCTGATGTTCCTGATGTTCCTGAGGTGAGGCAGCTGTGTCGCGGCGCGACCACGAAGAGAGTGCCGCTCAGTAGGCGAGGACAACGGGCGGTAGGAATGGAGAACAACGCATATGACCTGACAGAAGGCATTTGATCATTATAACTAAATATCACTAGACTCCCAAATAGAAAAGTAGATCCCCACGAAGAATGTATTGGACATCGTTTCTTTGTATTTGGGGACCACTATATGTTGGATCCGTGGCATAAAGAGGGTATGTCTCTCAAGGAAAAAGCAGTTTGGTAAAGCAATCTGGCGTCAATGTCCAGGCAGGTGAGAGGAATATTCGTCCAACTTGGTCTGCAGGATCCCTAGAATTCCTGGCCCACAATTGTTAACTCAATTAAACAGAAAAACACATATACACATTAAGTGGATGGCATGGCCTCGATTTCGGATGACCATTTTCACTCAAAACACACCCCAGGTGGTCGTTTTCCACTTCCATAATGATTTCAGGCAGTGTCCGGAGGATTTCAGGATCTTTTCCAGACAACCCTTGCTTTACGTTGGATGACCTAAATTCCTTTCCAATTGATTATTCTTTACCAGGTAGAGACCAGGTCAACCGGAATAACAACCAATCCTGTTTTTCTCACATCCTTTTTTTGGCAAAGAAAACATCTGACTGGTGCGACTCGTAGGGAATGAGGGAAGTGTCGCCCCAATAGAGCTTCCTTTGGATCCAGCCACCCTATCCATTCCCTCATTCCCTACTTTCGTCAGCACCAGTCAGCCATTTTTAGACTACAACAACCAGATCCACCGAGCTCCTTCAAGGGTCGAACTTGTACAACCATGATGCCAACGCGTGGCATCTTTTCCGTTGTTTCAGCCCGTGGCAGTCGTCCAAGGGCCGCCCCAAGAGGACCATGGTGGAGAACATTGCAGAAACACATGGTGACATGATCCCTATAATACCCAAAGCAAACATGGTTTCACAATGTTTCATATGACTTTAATCACCCGGTTCCACTGTGGGCACCTCATGGTTTTCACATGTTTTCACATGCAAGAGGCAGGACTGTCCATTGATTTACCCGTAGCAGATGCGTTTCCACCACCACCGGCGAAAATCCACGCGTGAAACGCTACGGCCAGTCGCTCGGGCGACCGCAGTCCCAACACTGCGAGAGGCGCGCGCGCGCGCTTTTCATGCTGGCTGGCGATGTCATGCGATGCATCGAGCCCTTTGCACCATGAAGAACTCATGTTTGCGAACATACTGGAAAATGGCTCGAATGGTCAGCCCAACATCCACGGTCAGCCGTCTTGCTTTAAGGCAGCCTCGGCCTGCGATGCACATAGAGAGATGCACTTGTCAAGAGGAAACCAAATGGCTTCCAATTCACCCATCACCATTTCTCAGTCAGCTTTTCGGCAGGGTCCAAGTAAAACCCTTGATCAATTCTCAGTAACGAGAGTGCCCATTCATCTAAGTAAAACACTTGGTTTTCTCAGTCTTGATCTTCCAATTCCTCAGTTCTCGGCAAGGTCCGAGCCACCAACTCCCCTTCTTTTTCGGCGAACAGAACGACCCTTCTACAGCTGCGGAACAGATTCCGTGCCGACTGCCTCGTCAGGCTTCGGCTCCGGATCTCAAGTGTCCGTTCTGCCACCCCGGCAGCTGATTCGGGAAGTGAAGGGAGGGACCAGCACCGCACCTTCAAAGGGGTCACCTGGGCTGGAAGCCCCTACAACCTAGGGATCTCCATTGGACACCCTTTGAAGGTCCAGGGGGGTGTTTTGGTGTTTTTCCTTTTTTTCCCGAAAGCATTGCGAAGGGTTCTTCCGGAAAATCCCTTGAACACTGACACTTCGACACTTACACTTCGACACTTACACTTACACACACACACACACTGGAAGAGCGAAAGCATCCAAGTGCAAAGTATGCAAGTGTCAAAGTATGCAAGTCTAATGATGAGCATGCAAGCATGCAATGAGTATGCAAGCATGCAATGAGTATGCAAGTGTGATGAGTGAACATGGAAAACTAGCATGGAAAACTAGCACGGGAGATGTCCTAATGAAAAACATTTCCCCACTTTATAAACTCTCTTAAAGGCGGAGGGTGGGACGAACAGCGCCAACCGCAAATGCAACCCTCTGCGGAGATCGTGCGTGTCGAGTGCGCGAAATGCAGGCGAGAGTGCGATTTGCCGGCTGTGCGCGCAACCCTCTGCGGAGATCGCGCGTGTCGAGTGCGCGAAATGCAGGCGAGAGCGCGATTCGCCCGGTGTGCGCGCAACCCTCTTGTCGAGTGCGCGAAATGCAGGCGAGAGTGCGATTTGTCCGGTGCGCGCGCAACCCTCTGCGGAGA